GATACCAGATTTCAGAGCAGCGCAAGGTGGATCAGAAAGCGGTGGACTCACAGATTTTGGCAAAAATCAAAGGTGTTCCTCAGCTCCGGGGCTACCTGCGATCCGTTTTTGCTCTGACAAATGGAATTTGCCCTCATAAATTAGTGTTCTAAATTTCTTACTAAGAACCTAATTAAATACCTGATACATTTAAAAAAAAAAAAAGAATAATAAGCAGCTTCGTTGAGATCTAATGTACATAATAAAAAAAAAAAAAATTCTTCCTTTGAAGTATACAGTCAGAGCTGAGCAAGGAGGCCCACATCTGTACTCCTGCCACTCAGGAGGCTCAGCAAGAGTTCATTGTCAATATGGGCTACACAGTGAATTCAAGACCATAACTATATGCAGTAGGCCCTGTCTCAGGAGGAGGATATGATCAGTGTTCTTTTGGCACTTTCACAAAGTGTGCAGTCAGTACCACTGCATAAACCGTTTCCATCACCCAGAAGAAAAATCTTTACCCATTAATAGTATCCTGCTAAACTCTAGCAATCCCTAAGTTTCTGTCTATGGATTCTCCTATTCTGGACATTTCATATGAATATAATCAGAAATTGTGATCTCTAGTGACTGTCTTCCTTACTTCACATGATATTTTTAAGGTCAATTTGTGTTATAACAGATATCAATAAGTACTTCATTCCTTTTAATGCTGAATAATATTCTATTGTAGGCTACCACATTGTGTTTATCCATCTCAACAACGAATAATGCTGCTATGAATATCTGTACAATTTTTGTGAGAACATATATTTGCAGTTCTCTTGAATATATATTTATGAGTATAGTTGTGAATCATATAGTATCTCCTATGTTCAACTTTTTATGAAATTACCAAGCAGTGTCCCAGACCCACTGCACTCTGCTAGCACTACGTGAGGAATGTAAGGAGAGCCCAGCCGATTTCACCACACCCTCTGCAGCACTTGATGTTGTCCATTGTTTGATGATGCTTATCCTCATTGGTGCTAAATAGCATCTCCTCTGACTTTCATCTGCAACTCATTAATGACAGAGAATGTTGAACCAATTTTCTTGTGTTCCTTGGCCTCTGTTTATCTTTAGAGAAATGTATTCTTTCATTCTGTATGTGTGTGTGTGTGCGTGTGCGTGTGTGTGTGTGTGTGTGTGTGTGTGTGTCTTTTGAAGACAGGGTCTTGCCATGCAGCTCACACTGGGCTTGAGCTCACTTTGCAGCTGAGGCTGCCCTCCAACTGTTAAAGATCCTCCTGCCTCAGTCTCCCAAGTGCCGGGATTACAGGCAAGCACCACCACGCCCAGCTCAGAAATGATTCAAATTGTTGGGTCATTTTTTTATTGTACTGGTTGTCTTTTTATTCTTAATTTGTGAGAGTTCTTTATATATTCTAGATGCTGTACACTTATGATTTGCAAATACTTTCTCCCATTATATATTTTTAATAAAATAACAGTATTCATAAGCACAAAAGTTTTTAATTTTTATGAAGCCAATGTATGTCTTTTTTCAACTTTTTCTGTGGTTGCTTGTGCATTAGATGTCATATCTAAAAGAATGTTGCCTAATACAAAGTTATGAATAGTTACATTTCTGTTTTCTTCTAATACTTATAATTTATTCCTTACAGTGGGTTTTTTTCCTACTTGAGTAAATGTTTATATATGGCATTAGGTAGGAGTGTTTATCCTTTCACATTTGGATATCAGGTTGTCATGGTATCATTTGTTAAAATGACTATTTTTTCTCCACTGAATTCTCTTGGATGGGGCCTGCCCCTTAGCTCAGTTGTTTAAGTGGCTGCTTCAACAAAGCAGTCAGCCTCAGGTTGCTCTGGTTCGATCCCTACAATTCCAGCCAGCCAAACATGCCCTGAAGGCATTCTGAGCCAGGCCCCCCCCCTCCAAAAAAAAAAATCCTTCTGAATTATCTTGGAATCCTTGTAAAAGATGTTTTTCAATTTCATTGAGCTCCATGCCTTTGTAAATATACAACATACTATTTGATCACTATAAGTTTGTCATAAACTTTGAAATCTTGAATCTTCCAATTTTTTTTTTCTTTTTCAAGGTTGTTTCTTCTGTTTTTGAAGGGGCTTTGCCAAATAGGTTAGTTGTTTAAAGCACCACTGGAGTAAATGTAGGCAGGCCAATAGGACCACGGTTCAATTTCTAGCTCCAGAAGCTATACCAGACCTGCCCTTAAGGCAGCCTGAAAAAAAAAAAAAAAAAAAAAAACCTTCTGTTTTTGAGCTCCTTGCATTTCCATATGAATTTTAGGATTGTTTTGTCTGTTTCTGAAAGAAAAAAACTGCAGCTGGACTTTTTGTAGGGATTTACATAAAATCTGTAGTTCATCTTGGGTAGTATTATCATCTTAACAGTATTACATCTTTCTGAGAAGAAAGTTTCCTTTTCATTTTCCTAGGTTCAGTTTGGTTTGGTTTGATTGTTTAGCTTGCCTTAAACTCTCTATGTAGCCCTGGTTGGTCTTGAATTAATGGGGATCCTCCTGCCTCAGCCTCTAAAGTACTCTAGCATTTTAGACATGTGCCACCATGCTTGGCCACTTAGGTCTTACTTAATTTGCTTCCTTACTGATTTATTTGTTCATTTGTTTGTTTGCTGAGAGAGAATCTTGCTAGGTAGTTCAGGCTGGCCTTAAACCCTTGAACTGACTATGTAGTCCAGTGCTGGGTGCTAAGACCAAGTATCCTTGGCTTTTCTTGACCATAAAGATAAATTTTCAGTCTTTCACCATGTTAGTACAGCTATTGCATAGATGCCCTTTATTAGGTTAGGAAGTTCTTATCTATGTATAGTTTGTTTATTTTTATCTGAGAGGAATGTTACATTTTATCATTTTTGTTTTGGGGGTTGAAGTAGGACCTCACAAATTTAGCACTTTACCACTGCGTTACAGCTACAGCCTCTCAAATGTTATTTCTCTATCTATTGAGATGATCATTTTGTATGATTTGTTCCTTTGATTATATTCATATGTTGACTCAACTTTGCATTATTAAAATAAATCTTATTAAGTGATAGTTTATGATTCTTTCTATATGCTGAAGCATTAGATTTGCTTGTGCATTTTGAAGATTTTTTTATCTGTGTTAATAAGGACTACTTGTAATTTTCTTGGGACAATTTTGATTTGGGAGCATGATCCCTTTCTAATACAAAGTCACGAATAGTTTTGAAAGAGTTTGGGAAGAAGTGATATTACTTTCTCTATCACTGTTTGATAGAATTCACCAGTGAATCCTTGTGAACCTAGATGTAACTTCTAAAGAGAAGGGAAGTTTTTGTTGTTTTGTTTTTGCTTTTTAAATCAATATGTATTAATTGTACATATTAATGGGGTTCATTGTATTTCTACACATGCTTACACTATGCACTGATCAAACCCAGCCTCCATTATCTACCCTCTCCCACACGTGCATCCTACCCAGCCTCTTCACGGGAAGTTTTTATATTTAGTAACTCAGTGTCTTCTGCTTGTTATGGTTCTATCCAGATTGTCAGTTTCCATATGAGTCAGTTTAAATAATTTGTGTCTTTACACAGATTTCTCCATTTCATCTCAGTTATCTTATGTTATTGGCATATAATGTCTATTTTTCCCCATCCTTTTTTCTCTAAGGTTGACAGTAATATCCCCGTATTCACTTCTAGTTCTAATTATTTACAACTTCTGTGTCACTAGTTAGTTCTGTTGTTAGTCTAGCTAAAACTTTGTCAGTTTTGTTCCTTTTATAAGACCAATCTCTAGCCAGATACAGTGGCGTGCACTTGTAGGCATAGCTGCTTGGGAGACTGAGAGGCAGGTCACTTGAGCCCGGGCATTTGAGGCCAACCTGGGCAACACAGCAAAATTTCACCTAAAATAATCTAGTTTCACTAATTTTCTCAGTTGTTTTGTTACCATTTCATTCATTTCCACTGTAATCTTTACTTTCCTTCCATTCCTTTTTGCCTTGGATTTAGTGTACACTTCTAATTCAGTAATGTAGATTAGGTTATTAATTTGAAAACTTTCTCTTTTTTAAAAAAAATTTTGGCGGGCTGGAGAGATGGCTCAGTGGTCTAAAGCACCTACTTGGAACAAGCTTGGCAAAGCACAGGGACCGCGGTT